TTTAATACCAGTTTATTAATAAAAATAAACTCTTATGAGTTCACGATGCGAGTTTATATTATTCTCACGAGTTTGTTTAAACTCGCGAGTTTAACAATCTTGAATATAAGACCTAATTATTGAGTTGATTTTAATCTTAAATATAAGACATATTTCTCATATTTATCAGTTTTTCTAAATTGCTCCTATATATACTCCCTCAATTATAATCAAGTAACAGAGGGAAGGAGGATATTAAAAAAGATGATTATGGTGCTTTAGGAAAAACATATCATATTTCTTATAATTAACCAACTTACCTAACTTTCTTAATCTGATCAAATTAGTTAAATAGGTTTTATATTAAGGACCGGAGGAATCCTTCAAGGTGCTGGATGTTATTTAAAAAAAAAAAAAAAAAGAAGGCAGCACCCCTCATTTTACACCCAAAACGACAATGTTTTGGGTAAAGGAGGGTAGCGGAGAAGAGCCTCTTTCTCTAAACATAAGTCCTAGTTTTTAGATTTGTTTTGGTCCCCAGTTATAAGTCTCATCACAAAGTTCTGGATAATTAAAAAATTTCTCCCAGAATACTTCTTATAAAAGACCAAAACCACATATTTTGTCCAGCAAGGTGGCCTATAATTAGGGAGAGTATTTGATTTGAGACCCCCCCCCCCAAATTTTTTTTTTCCTTCACTCTTGTTTTCACTGCTTTCAAATTGTGAATACATTTAAGTCCATTTAACGACTAAAGGATACTGGAATGAACAAATCTCAGTCAAGCTAAAATCAATCGGCCTCTGTTATTATTCTCTCTCTCTCTCTCTCTCTCTGCGTGTGTGTGTGTGTGGGGGGGGGGGTTACAGCTTCTTACCCAACACATAGTGATCAACATAAAACGTATAAAATTTATAATAAACTGTAAGTCTTAACAAATATATATTCAAATCCAACTAGAAAAAGTGAATCAAGGTTCTTGTAGAGCTCCAATAGTGGGAGTTTCTTACGTACCTTTTGAATTTTGAATGATATAACGTCTTCTTTAGTTTAATCAATAACTCTTAAGTCTAAATTTAAGAAAATATTGGAGAAAACCTCTCACCGTCACCCGCAATCCGTATCAGTGGAAACATTTGCGGGAACTTTTTGGGTTGACTTCGGTATATACTTTTAAAATATACCATCGTTTTTTTTTTTTTAAGTTTTACTTTCAGTTAATTATAAGTATCATATTTTTTATTTTTCAAAAAAATAGAGATAGTTTAAGAAAAATTATAAATTTAAAAAATAAAGTAGATTAAAATTTTATATTTAAGATCAAAACAAATATTCCAACTAACTAGGACAGAAAAAAGTACAATAATATGCATTTTACCCAACCAAGCTTTTTGGTAAAGGCTAAAAAAGGTTCAAAAATGGAAATCAAACGATCCTTGATGGTAGCTCGTTTGATTAAAGAGGAGAGGAAATGAGAGCTAACAATAATTAAAAATGTCAAAACTTGCAATCATTGGCTAAATTCCTATAATAATCACTTGAAAAAAATTATTTTTACGTTTTATGAATAAAAATTATTCTCACACAATGCGAAATTCTTTAAAATAAGGGAATTCGAACAACCATCAGACTCGTTTTGCCGACAGGTCATTGAGGAGCGATTTTCTTTTGACTTTTTTTGACGCAATTACTTTCAGTAAGGAATGAAGGCTAAGGTACACAATTAAAACTAAGTTATAGGTTATCTATTTTCAGATTTTGCTTGCCTTTGTATCTTTGGGGGGAAAAAAGGGTTATTTTATCTTGTTTAATACAAATGAAACGCATGCTCATTCGAACATGTCAACAACAAATTTGAGTTTACAAACTCATTCAAACATAATGAATGACAACCAACTGAATTATGTAAATAAAAAATTAGTTAAATATTATATATGAAGTATGGTGTAAATAATTATTTAGGGTGTGTTTAGATTAGTGATGACAAAACTGACTTTTATTCCATGTGACTTTTGCAAAAGTCAATTAGGGTAAAACTAAAAGTCACTTAGTGTAATATGATTTATGTTTGGATTAGTTTGTTATAAAAGTCAGTTTGTTAAAGTGAAACTTGTTTAGATGAGTAATAAAAAAATAAGTTTACATGTAAAATGACTGAAAAATCATGAATTTTATAACATATGCTACCTCCGGTCCTAATTATAAGAATCAGTTGACTAATTTGAGGAGATTAAAGAAGTAAGTTAAGTTAGTTACTTGTCCTAAATAGGTGTTGTCTTTCCTAAAATATCCTTGCTAATCAAAGTGTATTGACTAGAACTATCATTGTTAGAAGGACTACTTTGAAAAAAAAAAATATAAATATGAGAGACAAAGTGAATTGGGGTCTTATATTTAGGACCAAAATAAAAATTAAACAGGGTCTTATGTTAAGGATCGGAGGTAGTATCTCATATATATAGTTTAATAAATTTAAGAAAAATAATAAATAAAAATAAAAATTATAAAAATAAAAAGAGTTAATACATTATTTAAAAAAGGACATTACCCACATTAATTTTCTTACATTGATTATGTCAAGTTATCTGATCACACATGACCATAGGTCATATTTTTAAAATATTTATGTTTAATAATATTTAATTATAAACTTACATGAAAAAATGAATACATGATCATATGTAATTGAAAAACTTAACATAATAAATATAAGTAGCCTAACTTAAATATTTTTCTTAAAAAAATTTGTAAGCATTAAACAAATTATTAAACACACAAAATTAAACTATTGGGTTAATATAGGATCCACTTAAATACTATTCTCTGTTTTTTTTAATCCTCATTTGTTTCTCTCTCCACCTTAATACAAACTCAAAAGGCTCAAATTTTTAGCTTAGCTCATTTGAAAAAAGTTTCACCCAAACAAATACTCCCTCCATCCTTTTTTATAACCAACATTGGAGTTCATCATGTAGATCAAAATACAAACTAAAATTAGTTAAAAATAATAAATGTGTAAAAATTAAAAATTCTTTCTCTAAAATACCCTTATTTATGTGGGAGAGAGAGTATAAGAGAGATAACAAAAAAATTATTATAATAAATAAAATTATGGAAGAGAGAGAATATGTGATGGAGAAATGATGGTTTAGAAAATGACATAATAAATATATTGAATATTAAAATAATTAATTAATTAGGATAAAATAGAAAATTTGTCACAAAAATTTAAAATAACTTACAAATATTGTAGTTAATAGGCAAGACTTGTTTGTTGGTCTTAACGCCCATCCAAACAGAGTGAGGCTGCCCCATTCTCACTGTCACGAGCAATCCGTACTTATCCTCCGTGTTTATTACTCACAGTCACACCATGCCATCGTGACTTGCTTTTTGGTCTATCAAGAGGAGAGGAAATGAGGGCTAATAATAAATATAATTAAAAATTGTATAAATTTGCGTTTTTGAAATGTTAAAACTCTAAGCTTTCACTTTAAATGTTTTGATAATATATGTTATTATTTTTTCAAGAAAATAGGTATTTGTTCAATCTTATATTTCTAGAAGCCAAGAGTACTAAACATGCAACATAAGTGAGAGAGGTGCAATTATAGTGCTTTATTAAACCTAATTTGTTCAATCTTATATGACCGCGGGCGTTTATATTTTCCTGGGAAATTTGATTTTCTTTTTCTTTTTGGACCAACCCTTAGAAAATTTGATTAAAGCTTTGGTTGAAGGTCTCAAAGATATTTGATCAATATTTTCATTTAGTGTTGTCTTTTTCACACACTACCATAATTCGGTAGGACCACCTTTCACGGAAATTTCAAATTTGAGAATGAGGCAATGTGAGACTTCTCAGAAGTCACACATACGGAAGCTGTATAAATCTCTGAAAGTTAGCTTTGCTTTTATTTAAAATTTATTATGATTATTTATTATTCATTTTGTTCCATCTTTCATCGACTGGGTTGACTCAATCTATTCCCCTAAAATCTTATATATCTTCCTCTGAGGCCGGTCTGTTTCCTATTGCCAATCATTCTTAGATCTGAATCGAAAGCAGTCACTTTTTTTTTTTTTGGGCATATTGTAGCCAAGCAATTTGACATGGCTTCATCTTCTTCCCCTGCTCCATCTTCTCAATCTCCAAAGAAATACTCGTATGACGTTTTTATTAGCTTCAGAGGTGAGGACACCCGCTTCAACTTCACAAGCCACGTTCATGAAGCTCTTCGAAGAAACCAAATAGATACATACATCGACTATAGACTTGAGAAGGGAGATGAGGTATGGCCGTCTCTTGAGAAAGCCATTGAAGATTCAAGTCTGTTCCTTGTGATCTTCTCAGAAAACTATGCATCTTCCACGTGGTGCCTGGAGGAGCTAGCAAAAATATTACAGTGCTTTAAAAATCAAGGTTGCTTTGTTATGCCGGTGTTCTATAGAGTGGATCCTTCACATGTGAGGAAGCAGTCTGGGAGTTACGAGAGAGCATTTGAAGAACATGAGCGCAAAAGAAACATCAACAATCAACAAGTGCAAAAGTGGAGGGAGGCTCTTACTCAAGCTGCCAATTTGTCTGGTTGGCATTGTAGCTTCAATAGGTAACTACATATTTATGATCTTCCTCTTATCATTTTCTTCCATGCCTGGGGCTAAATTAAATCAATCTTTGAGGCATTGAATGGAAGTTACGTTGACGATCATAAAGAGAATAGCTTCTGTTGTACACTATTGTTAACCAGTCCGCCGGGTCAATCAATTTACTGTTATGATATTTTAATCTAAATCCCTGTCTCACTACGGTAATGACGATGCATTCGTAGCAATAAGATGACGCTGGAATTTTACATATATCTAGTTATGACGTCTAATATAAGTAATATTTATCAAAAAATATTATAAGAAATTTTAAAAATTGGCAAATCTTCGTAGTTACATGTCATTAGGAATAGTTCAAAATTTGAAATGAATAGATAATGTGGTATTAAATTTGGTGTCTCTTTATTTTTTCAATGGTGTATAGGAATGAAGCGGAGCTAGTTAAAGAAATAGTGAAGGATGTCAAGCAAAAGTTGCGCTCTAGGCATCCAAGTGAAGATCATCTAAAAGGCTTGATTGGAATTCGTAAAAGAATAGCAGATGTAGAATCATTGTTGGACAAATGTTCAAACAATGGTGGTTGCCAATTCATTGGAATTTGGGGCATGGGCGGTTTGGGCAAAACAACTCTTGCAAACGCATTGTTTAACAAATTGCATAGTACATATGAAGGGTCTTGCTTTTTGACTAATGTAAGGGAAAAATCAAAGAATGAAATACATGCTTTGAGGGAAAAAATTGTTTGGAGGTTATTAGGAGATAAAGAATCTCACATTGGCGATGCAGTAGATGGTTATACCGAGAGTAGGCTTGGTCAGAAAAAAGTTTTCATCGTGCTTGATGATGTTGATGATGATGAACAATTAGAAAAATTAGTTGGAAGTCGTAAATTTGGATCAGGCAGCAAAGTCTTAGTAACAACTAGAGATAAGCAAGTGCTTCGTAAGAAAGTGGATGATATTAATATACATAGGCTTCATGGTTTGGATCGTGAAGAAGCTGGTCAACTTTTCTCCTTGAATGCCTTCAAAAAAGGCTCCAGTGATCCAAAGATGAAAGGGCTAGTAGAAAACGTGACCAAATATGCAGATGGAAATCCATTGGCCCTAAAGGTTTTAGGCTCACTCTTGAATGGCATAAATCATAAAGCGTGGGAAAGCCAATTGGACAAGCTTCATAAGTTTCCTTATCCAAAAATTAATAATATCCTCAAATTGAGTTTTGAAGGACTTGATAAGGAAGAAAGAAATATTTTCTTGCATACTGCATGTTTCTTTGATTTCTTCCATCATTATGATGTCGAGGATGTTAAAAAAATGTTCAATGCATGTGGTTACTCAACAGAGATTGCATTGATAAGACTTGAAGAGAAAGCTCTTTTAGATATTGATGAAAGAAGAATACATATGCACCATCTAATAAAAGAAATGGGTAGAGAAATTGTTCAAGACCAATCATTAGAGGCTCCTCAAAAGGGCAATATATTATGGATTTCCAAGAATAATTCTGGAATATTGAAGGACAACATGGTAAGAGTGAAATTTCTACATTTTTTTAAGTAAAAAATGGTTGAATTCCAAATTCCTATTTGATTTATACAATATTTTTGTTACTATTATTATATTTTGTTTGCTAGGAAAAAAATGCCATTGAAGGCTGGATTCTGAACCTTTCAAAAGTTGAAGAGATGCATGTGATTATTGAAGCCTTTTATTCAATGCCCAATCTAAGGTTTCTTGAGTTTTATGGAAATATCAATGGCCATTTTGAGAACGCGTTAACATTTCCTTGTGGTATGAAGTTTTTGCCAAAAAATCTCATGCTATTGGATTGGGTGGGATACCCTTTAAAGTCATTGCCCGCAACATTTAATGCTGAAAGTCTTGTTAAAATAAACATGCCCAACAGCAAATTGACAAAACTTTGGGATGGAGAGCAGGTACGTTTTATACTTTTTTTCCCCTTATAAAATACTCCCCTATTCTAAATATAAAATATATATTTTGTAATGTAAAGTGTAATGTAATTTACATTACAAAATAGGTCTTATATTTAGGACCGGAGGAGTATTATTATTACACTAGTTGGAAAAATTTTATTATATATGCACTTTCCCTTCAGGATTATATTATTACACTAGTTGGAAAAAATTTATTATATATGCACTCTCTCTTCAGGATTATTTATAAGTTTCTACCTATTGGTCCTTAAAATCTCTTAGGAAATTTAATACTCCTCCGGTCCTAAATATAAGACCCATTTTGTAGTGCAATAAAAGATTGACAACCGATTCTGAAAAATGCAATTCCCTTTCACCATCACACTAATATTTATATAGATTACTGGTTAAGTGTAATTTTAGAAAATTGTAATACTATCTGACATTACTAACTTTGTAAATAAAATTGTTAACAAGGTCTTATCAAGAAAAGATAAGAGAGTAATTATTTTTATTTTTGCCGCCAATATCACCGTGTAATTTATTTATTATTATTTGTTTTTACAGAATCTAGTGAATTTAAGAAGAATTAATCTGAGTAGATCAAGAGACTTGATTGAGCTCCCAAATTTTTCCAAGGCAATACATCTTGAAGAAGTTGATCTTGAGTGGTGCTCAAAATTGCAGAATGTTCATCCATCTATTTTATCACTCCATAGCCTTCATCGTTTACAGCTTGGAGCTTGCAAAGCCCTTACCAGCCTTACAACCAACACCCATCTTAAATCACTTAGTGAACTGGACGTGACAAGATGCTCAAGACTAAGAGAATTTTCGCTGACCTCAGAAAATTCTCTGTCTCCGTTGATGCTTTGTGGAGCAGCCATCAATGGTGAATTGTGCTCATCAAGCGGACATCTCAACAAAATTGATATTTTGAGCCTAAGAAGATCCGAAGGTGTGACAAGTCTTCACAAATTGGTTGACACACACACCCTTCGACGTCTTGATGCTGAGTATTGTAATAAGCTAGCATCAAATCTACGTTCCCTATTTGATGAGAGGCCGCATGCTTTGAAAATTCTACGGCTGGATTATTGTAGTGCATTATATGAAGTGCCTGACAACATTGAATTCTTGTCGTCATTACGTGAGTTACATCTCTCAAGCACTAATATAGAGACCTTGCCTTTGAGCATCAAAAGTCTTCCAAGCTTGCAACTTCTTTACTTACAACAATGCCGAAGGCTTCGGTCTCTACCACAACTCCCTCCCTCTATTCGTGAACTGTACGCCGATGTATGCCTGTCGCTTGAGACTTTACATTCACCTTTATTGACTGAAGATAGAGAAGGAAAACAATGTTATGTTGATCACTTCAGTTTCACAAATTGCATGGAGTTGGATGGGCAGTCAATCAAAGCTATTGAGGCCAAAGTGCTACTTGACATAAATAATAACAAAGCCAATGATTACTGGCCTACAATGAAATATCCGAGAGAAAGAGTTGCAGAGTGGTTCATGTATAAGACTACACGGTCTGTGGTGACTGTGGATCTTAGTTCAATTCCACAACCTTGGGATGGAACTTTCATTTTCCACGCCGTGTATTCTGGATCATTCCGTTGGGCACAGATTGATGTCGAATTGCGTATTGATGATCAATATGCTTGCAGGTCTAGAAGCAGGGGTGGGCTTCTAAGCTCAGATCATGTTGTTCTTTGGTACGATGCAGTGTCCTGTGAAGAGGTGCAAAGGACAATTAAAGAAAAGAAAAGAAAAGCTCCATTATTGCTTAAATTTCAATTCGCAGCCTTTCCGCCTCTTCATGATGGCACAACAATTGAGATCAAAGAGTGTGGGGTGTGCCCGACGTCTGCAGTTAAATATCAAAATTACATCAAACAAATTCAACCGGCCTCTCGAAAGCGCAAACATCACAGCTTACTTCAATGAATTTCAAGAAATGGTTTGAGTTTTACAGCTCTCCAGTTCAATTGATCTGCCCTCTTCAACTTCGTATATTACTCTCGCGCCTCTACCTCAAAATGGTATGCTCTGGCTTTAACTACTAGTTATAGACTTGCTTTTTTAAAAAAAAAAATTGTACGTTCTGATTGCCGCATCATTATGTTTTACCATTGGCAGCCATATAATTAATTTAACAAATGAACAAATTAAAAGATAAAATTAAGACAGTGGTAACAGTTTCAAAGACCCCGATGTTGTCAGAGATAATGTTATTGAAATTAATTATTTTGTCGTAACAGAGAAAAAGATACATTAAAATATAGTAAGATAGATATTTAGATGTGATTGTGTAAAATTAATAATAATAATAATAAGGAAGAACTGCAAAACATAAAATTTTTTTAGCCTATCAATATATTAAAATTCTTAAAAAAAGAATGTTGGTATAAAATTTTTTAAATTTTTTAGGCAATCCTTCGATGTTTAGTACTGCGGAGCATCGAGTCAGATTTGATTATTATTGAACTCATTTGTGATAAATAACATATATATATATATATATATATATATATCAAGATAGTTTAATTTAAACTCTTTAAATTCTATCCATATGCTAGATCACATCCCACCTTGACACATGAGCTTGCTTCAGGCAATTTGATTGAGGTTAAAATTTGATGGCTGGGATTTAATATTGGACGGTAAAAATTTAATATTAATCGATTTTTCTATTTTTTTTTTGAACTTTTTTATTCTAAAACATGCGAAACCTAAAATTTTAAACAAAAATAATTTTGAGCTGTTTTTTTTTTTCAAAAAAGAAAATTTTATTATTAAAAATTTTAAATCAAACCCTGGACTCTTCGACAAGTCTGTTCTCTACTCTACTTTCTTCAAAGTCCCCAACGAAACGGAATCTTCGTAGCCTTTTTTATTATGATTGGTTTTCTGTTATAGAATGAGCTAACTTTATAAAACCAGTTCAATAGATTGGAGGCCTTCTCCCGTAGTGTCTTTTGCCACCAGCGTTGATGGTTCTTTGGTCGCCGCGGCCTGTGAAGTCGGCTCCTTTGAGATTTGGCTTGTCTCCCCCGGCTCCGCCGGCAGGCACTGTCAGTTGGTAAAGTGGCTTCTTCTTAGTGCTGGATTATTTTTATTAGTTTTGGAGTTCTTAATTTAATCGCGGTTGTTAGTTTAGTTTATGTAGGTTCCCGGTGCATTTAGCTTCCTGTATAAGAGTGACGTTATTAATACTGAAGCAGAGGCTGATCAAATGAGGAACGGATCATCTGAGCCTGATCAAGGTTATAATAGGGATAAGGATCGTGAAAGCGAAGAAGATTCTGAGTCACCCAACAGATGCCACCTTATACACATGGTGTCAGGGCTTTGACTGTGGCAGTACCAATTTGGTGAGGTTTGTCCTTGCATTTTATGTCTACATTTCTCTAGAGACAATTTATATATCCCATGTTAAGCATGCCAATGAAATCTTGTATTCGTTGGTTTCAATTTCATCCACCGATTCTGTTCATTTGTTTTGTGCTTACCTTTGACAGATCCAAGAAACATTGATTTTAATTACCATAACGGCCCACTCAGGGGTTCCCATACTGATTTCAGCAGGTGATGATACCAAACTTTTTGCATATGCTGTGGAGAGGTTCACTCACTTCTCTCCACATGATATCTGCTCTGCACCGCAGAGATAACCCATTCAACTAGTGCTGAAAACGGCCTTCAATCAATCAGCAATGCTCTTTGTCCAGTCTTCTCGTTGTTTAGATGTTCTTTCTGTACAATGAAAAGAAGGTTTCTTTCCTGATGCTACGAATGTCACAACTGGAGTCTTTGCAAGAGCTGACATGCTTGTTCAAGTTAAGAGCAAGTCATCACGGAAGACAATTTGCAGCACCATTGCTAATTCAGGTGTGCTATTTGCGTACTCTGATCATGTGAATCGCAGTCTATTTGAATTGAAGAGGTCTGAAGTTGGGAAAAGTACCTGGAGTGTTGGGGAAAGGCAACACCCTGCTAGACTAGCATTTGCTCATTCTATGATTTCTCTTGGTCGATGGTAGCTGGGCATGATCGAAGGATATATGTAAGCTGGCACAAGCTTTTTCCCTTTAAGTTGTTTTGTGAACCCCCAACTGTGATTTTCTGTAAATGTGGCAATTCATTATGTTGTTTACATGATGATTACACTTTTTGACTGAACGCCAAATGCTAATAGCAATGTTGGATACTTTCAACCGTAGAGTATTATGTTCTGTGCTGCGTGAGTTAGTTGTTCCAAAGTGAAAACTATATTAATTTTTGTCATCCAATTTTTCATTTGTTGATTGCCATTTTGTACTCTTCTTAGATATTTGAAGCCAAGTTAGTGTACATTTTTGTACTATAAATTTTTCATTTTGTACATTTTTGTTCTATAAACTTTCCAGTTGGCTAGGTCATCTTGCTTAAGAAAGAGAGCAAAAGGAACAGACAGGAGGCACATGCACATGCATGTAAGTCCATATAGTGTTCTCTTTTTTGTTTTTTTTTGCCCTTTGGGATATGAAAATGCTTGCATTTTGACTTTCTTGAGATTCATATAATGCTTTGGTAATTCTTTTCACAGGCAACACTGGTTCATTTCTAGATTAGATGGTGCCTCTGTGTACTGCTGGTGGCTTTCTTCCCCAGAACAACAATGTACTCGTACTTACAACTTCCTCAAATCCAGCGTATGCATTGGATGTAGAGGCCAATTAGCAACTGGGGGAACGGTCATCAGGGCATAGATTTGTTCTTCCAGGGAGATTCCGGGAATTTCCTGGTGAAGTTATTGAGCTCTCACTCCCCACCTCCCCAACTTCATCTTCTGTTATCGTTTACAGTGCCAGGGATTTGCCTAAGATGTTTGATAGAAGCTGATGAAAATGCCAAACTAAATGAGAGAAGTATGTCACATGCATGCGTCAATCTATTTCTCACAACGAATAGTCACTGCGTTCTTCAATCTTCTGCGGAAAATTGATGCCTCAATTGTTCATTTATGCCGTCCCTTCTTAAATAATTAGCTGGGGAAAAAGAGACATTGTAAATGCCAAATATGAACTCTGAATAAATAACTTCTCTTCATCTTTTAAAATGTCACAAGGTCACATCACATGTTTGCATTGCTATTTCTGGCAAACTGGATACGGTAGTAATATTTTCCCATTGAAGAAATTTGGTAACTTTACTCTCGTCTATAGCCATTTTTAACTTTCTGGAATGGCTTACAATATGAGAGCTTAGTAAGATTTCGCCTCTAAAAGGCACAGGCTGATTAGCTTTGCTTTTAAGTTTTTGATAGTTAACCGTGACTTACTTGAAATGGAAATATTACAGGAAAAATTATACATATGTTTATATTTTTTACCTTTCCATGTACGTGATTTCTATAATTTGTTCTACCTTCAGGGTGATGTATTTGATCAACTTTGGGTTGCCAGTGGAGCAAGAACAAAGTGATGGGAGGAATTTCGAAGTTGTTCCATTCACAAATCCTGTATTATTTTTTGGAAAAAAGTGGTTAATAGTTTTGAAGTCCCACCAGTGCACATATTTATAGGACACAACAGCCTTCTTAGAATTAACATCCCTTTTGTCTTGTTCCAGTTTTTCATTCTTTCTTTGTTTTTTTTTCCTCCCTTTTCTCCATCGCTAGGCTCCATATTATTTATTTTAATTTTGCTCCATCAATATGAAGTTTGGAGAGGATTCAAATCCTAGTCCACACTTCCTTTGAATATATGATGTTTGATGCTTTTATGTGCATATGAATTTAAATGTGTATTAAAAAATTGCTACAATCATTTTTTATTCTAATTATTATAATAATATATTTTAAATAATCAAATTGACATTTTATTTACTTTAGAAAAACAAAATCTATGTTCTCTTTCGGCTATGATTTATCTTCCAGCTTTAATCTATAATTAATACAATAATATATTTGTAAAAATCAATTAATTTTATAATAATATAATTTTTCATTGTAATATTTTTATTTTAAATTATTTTTATCATAATATATATTTTATTTGTAATAATATATTTTTTACTTAAAATGTATTTTGAAATTAATTTTATAGAAATATATTTTAATTTTTTAATGGATATTGATAGAATATCACCAAAAAAATATGAGAGAAAAAGGGTTCAAAATTTTGACTCTCATCTGAAAAAAAAAAACCCAATTTAAAAGAGAGCTAAAATGGGTAGAGAGGAGAGAGTGGAGACGTTTGGCTTTTATCTCTTTCAAAATTTCCAACCAAACAAAACAAGGGGAGGGGTCACTTTTCCTCCCACTCTCAATCCAAACAAGCCTTAAATGTCATAGAATAGTTAGCAGCGCCCCCCCCCCCCCCAAAAAAAAAGTTGCCATTTCGATATATCACTGATTCACTGCTGCGCCTCAACTATTTTCTGGACAAAATCGATATGAGCTCTGATTCTGGTCGGATCATCCACAATCTTGATTGGTGGGTAGTACACATTTCATTATCTTTGGCCAACTCCCGTTATGGTATCAGGCAGCACTACTTTTTAAAATATATTTAAACTCTCTTTAAATGACCTATCATAGCAATTAAATATATCAAAGGCCAATGGGAAGTTTGACAACACCACTAACATGGTAGAAACGTTGTTTCTAGTCAATTTCTACACACACAACATTAATCAAACTCGTGTAATATTATGTGGTCCTGAAATTAGAGAGCAATATGGAGCCGAGAAGAGAGCATGAAAAACCACAGAAGAGATACTGTTGCAAGTAGGAAGAAGAAAGAGAAGTGATGAAGACGATAAAGCACAATTAAAGAACAGGACGGAGTTTCAAGTTCAAACATTAAAAACTGTGAAAAAATATAAATCAAGTCACATCAAAACAGTGAAACAAAAGCTAGAAAAATAATTGAGTTCAACAGCACACACTAAAGGAACATAAAAAGCATCAATTGCGGTATACATCAGCAATCCAATCAGCTACTAAATTTACTTTCCTGAAAATCCAAAATAAACTAAATTAGTCTGTCTAAATAATAAAATAAGAATGAAGATAGTTTGATACTCCAAATAACAATTAATTTCAATACTGAACAATCGTAATATCATTGTTATTAAACTAAATTAGACCCCCACCAAACACACCAACACCATTTTGTAAGTATAATTCCACTACCCAGCTTTTCCATGCCCCAAAAAAAAAAAAAAGTTACCCCAAAATAAAAAAGGAGTTATTTTTGTAAGCAGATGAAGTGAGGCTGAATGATGTGTTTTTGGAGGAGAGTGTTTTGCAAAATGCTCATAGGTGAAATCTTGAGCGCCACAATTCACGTATGCCAACAAAACTTAATCCCTGAATTGCATGAAATTCAAAGTTTTATATATATGATGATCAAATTCTTTTGATATGGCCAATAACTTTATAACTTAGTGACACGAGAGCTTTCTGTAAGTAAAAGGTCACGGATTTAATCCTAATTGCAACCTTAGCCCGTTAACAGGTCTGTTGTCTCTTTCATGCTCCTTCACATATTAAAGCATTAAATTACTCTACATTATATTCACAGCCCCAATATTTACATCTGAATTCAGACTAAAATATACGCTTCATTGCGCAATAAGAAACACCAAATCACCTTCCTCTCATGATGACAACAACACGTACAAGTGCTTCATTAAATAAATATGCACGGCAACATGCAGGACTCAAAAAGCAGAACAAGTCATAGTTGATGGTTGAAACTAGAGTCATTAGAATTGACTTAACATTGATCCTTTATAAAGTTCCTTGTCCATCTCTTTACTGTTAACCATACTCCTCATTCTTACCGGTTAATGCCCCGTTTGATTATAATATTGATCAAAATCAATGGCATCATCAGATATGTTTTTTCCCAGACAATATGTACGGCTACAACATAGTTTCAATGAATTCTTCCATATATCTTCACCAGGCTTGTAAGTCAAATAAATTATCTTAAATGCTCACTTTTGGTTGTTAATATTATACAATACATGGAAGTTGGTAATTTCTATATCAGGAAAAACTCTGCTAAATTTATTGAGAGCAATCAAGATTATGCAAATAGAGAACATATTAATTAAACACTGAACAAGCAAATCAGTGTTTCCAGGCATGAACACAGTAAAAGCTTTGAACGTGGCTTTTTGTCTTAAACTCTAAAAGTCAAGTATTAGCAAAAATATTCAAAAGTTAGGGATGTAACAAGCATAGGACTAACTTAAATATTAATCAAAGATGTAAGGATTGATCACCTTTGAGAGGTTGAAATTTAAGAGTTTGGATGCTAAGAGCAACTGTAATATTCGGTGGCAGTTAGGTAGTTATGG